ATGTACGCATAATAGTAACACGACAATTACGAATTTGCGGATGCCATTTAAATTGAACGCTGTTGGTAATACGCATACCAACAATACTGCACGGCAGCATGACAGGGAAACTAAACTTGGCAAGCATGGCTGATCCTAATTAGTAGGTTTTTTTTGGGAGTGGGGGGGGGTTTAGGCCACACAGTTTGTAGCCTTCGTGCCAAAATTTTCATCCACCCTCAACCAACCCGACGAGATTGCCACATTTACAAAGATATTATTTGTACATGGCCAATGTACCGATCAAATTCTGACCGATTTTTAAGTGTCCTCCTCACCGGCGGCTTGAGACTTTTCAGGCCCGAATTTTTTTAAATCTGTGACTCTTGGGAGCCTAGATGAGGGGGGGGGGGGGGGAGGATGGGGAGTTGTGATCGTGTGTACCACTAAACTCACAGGAACGCGTGGTAGTTAAGTTCTTTGTTCGATGCAAGTCGGGGTAAGGGCTCGACATTCATTCCCTGAGGCTATGGTTCTTAAAAACCACTCGCCAAAGTAGTGTTACTTTGGGACAAATGGAGGGGGGGTGGTTACGTTTCCACGTCTTACAACATCGTGCACGATAGAAAAATTATTTTGTTTCATAACATTCAATCCCGTGCTGTCCACATAACATCCACATCCTTCGTTAAATCGTACAATCATACACGTAGGCGGAGAAACGCAACTAATGCAACACAACGCATCGCCGAATGATGCCGCGAATGTTGAAGTTGCACGAAAACCTTGGACGCCAATGCTGACGAACTTTTGGGGGGAATCTTCGTTTTGGGCATCGTCGTCGACGGACTGCTTGGGCGATTTCCCCGACCGATCTTGCACGTTGCGGTTTAAGGCTGAGGCGCCTCCTTCCCCCCCCCAAAAAAAAACAGCCCCTTTGCTGGCTCGAAAGGGCACATGCATGGGCTTCGACCACCAAACACTCGTACAAGTCCCACCAGCATCATCGCCGCCGATTAGTGCGACACTTAAAAGGCACCTTTTTTTTTCTTTCTGAAAGTCCGATCTTCGATCCACAACTTCAAGGTTTCTCTTCCCTTTACTCCGTCCCCACTCGATGTTTCCGTCGCGCGCTTGAGACACGTGCCCACCGTCCACGCGTTCGCCTCACTCGCCCTCAGCCTCGTTTCTCTTCCACGCTGAACCCAATTCGTGTCGACTCGCTTACCGTGCCATGGCGGGCCCAGCAAAGGCAAAGATCCCCCGTGTAGCCTTAACAGACTGTTGGGGCAAAGTGCTGTCAGCGAGCAGCACCTGTGAAGGCCGGCACGGCACACGAGGGGGTGGGTGGCCAACACCACGCCCCGGCCGCCTTTGTCTCCCCGGTGGCGATGTTTACTACACACCGTGCCAGGTACTCATTTGAGGCCGAGTCGACCTAGGGGAGGCCCGGGAGTGGTTCGAATAATCGTCACACAGGTGTTCGTGGCCACGAGCGGGAATCGAACTCGGGTGCCATAGCGCAGTGCAACGCTAACCGCTGCACCACCGCTCCCGCTTCCCAGCACCCCCAGACGCACCACGACCAAGTCTATGTAACAACATAAATGACAAAAATCGACATTTTTCTTTCTCCGAATTCGGTACTAACAATAACAACAACAAAATCCCCCCTCAATGTTTTATGAGCCGCGATGCACGTGGTGAATACGAGACGGCGGGACTTTAATCATAATAATAAATATAATTATGGGGCGCCACGGTGGCTAGGAGATGTTAACTACGTCGCCTGCTATGAAGGAGGTCGTGGGTTCGATCCCGACCCTGACGCCCGCTGCTGTTGTATATTTTGAGTTTGCGTCTCTCTCTCTCATCATCATCACGGTGGCTATGAGATGTTAACTACCTCGCCTGGTATGAAGGAGGCCGTGGGTTCGATCCCGACCCTGACGCCTGCTGCTGTATATTTGGAGTTTGTGTGTCTCTCTCATCATCATCACGGTGGCTAGGAGATGTTAACTACCTCGCCTGGTATACAGGAGGCCGTGGGTTCGATCCCGACCCTGACGCCTGCTGCTCTATATTTGGAGTTTGCATGTCCGGTTTTTACCTCCACATTTAGAATCAACAATATGCGTTTAGAGTCGTTGGCTGCTAGAAATGTGCACGTGATAAGCCACTTCGTTTCGTTGAGCTATCATTTGTGGCCAGGTCGCTTCTGAAAAAGAGCTTCATAGCTCAGTGGGCCTTACCTGGTAAAATTTAAAATATATTTTTGTTTAGTCACGAAGCAGTCCTGAAAGAACCGCAGGTTGCCGAGCCCTGAGCGAACTAAAACTCACCGCTCTTTTTCTGTATTTTTTTTAACTCTTGCTATCACTTCCTCCACTCACTGTCACTTAGCCTTCATTATCAAAATAACAAGCATACAAACAAAAATCCACCGCAAATCAGGCAAAAAATAACACAAAAGACAACGACACTTGAAGAGTCAAAAAACCGAAGCCAATCAGCAGTGGCCCTCTCTGCCAAATCGCGAATAGGCGACGGGAAAAGTCGCGAAAGTTGAATCGGTGTACAAAAATTTTTAATCGCGAACAGTCGAATTTCACACAAATATAATTCTCGAATGAAGAGGTTTGACTTTACATTTGAAATAATTATCATCATCATCATTATCACAGTCCATGGGCAGATAGTCAGGAGGTGCCCCCTGCACATTTTGTCATTTGTTTCCACGTTTCTCTGCCTTGTGCCGATATGCTCAAGTAGTGAAAGAAAATAAAGTTCGTTTTTAAAATTCTTCCTTCTGAAAAAAAATATTTGGGGGTTCTAAGACCAAATGTTTGTGCATTAGCTTGACGGTTGTATTTATTGTAGCGTACTTCAAAGTAACATTGCAGTTAAAATACAAGGCTGTAGTTGATGCCTACCGGGTATCCCTACACGCTATCATTATGGATTTCACAGTATTTACAGTATTCACAGTATTTATGAGCATTTCTCATTACTAGTTTTTCTCATGACTAGTTTATTTAAAATGTTGTCACCTGAAAATATTTGCTACTCACACAATACGTGTCAACATTTGGCAGAAAAATTACCTCAAAGCCCCAAAACGTTTATCTGGAGCACTGGGGGGCATGTACATTGAAGTCTGTTTTATAAATGATAGTCTTAATAATCGCAATTTCACCCTCTTGCTCATTGCCTGATAAGGTCAACTCGTTGTCCCAAAACAAGCAAGATATGCTGGCACAATTTCCAATTGCATGTTTGTCCTCTGCCATCAAAGGAGTTGGGAAAGTTGCTGCACTGATTTCCATCCAGGGAGTTCGCATTCACGATGCTCACGGTTGTTGAGCTTTGTTTCTTCAGAAACTGCCGACAAGGATTCGCCAACGGTCGTGGGGAGTTTTAGATGGTTGGGATGGGTGGCGTTTGGAATGGCTGAACTAACCCATGGCATTGAGAATTATATTTTTTATTAGGTGGTTTAAATACCTCCGGGTGATTCGGAGAATTGTCGCAATTCTAGAGGGTCACGATTTGATTCGCATATTGTTTGCGTGTTTATTTTCACGTTGTCGTGCCTCCTCATTCGTAGTTTCTATTATACGCAGAGTATTGCGTGGTTTTTCTTTTACTTCGTAAATTGAATGGCTCTCTTGTGCAGTGCAGCTACAACATTTGCTCTTGGGGAGACAAAGGCGCCCGGGGAGTGGATCCCCCCCCCCCCCCCCCCCCCCACACACATTTCATGCTGATTATACATCATCGGACATGGTCAATCAACTGCTGGATGAAGGCCTTGCCAAACCGCTCACAAACTGCTCTCGCTACGACAGTACGAACAGGCCCCTGAGTAGATTTGTGTGGGTGCTTGGATGTTACTTGTGAATGTTTATCGTGACACAGGTTATCTCATGAATACTACTATAAATAAAGTAGACGTGAATTGCAAATGTTATTCCCTCTCTTTTGACAATACATTGCATGTTTACGTAATTTTTGGGTGACATAAGTATCTCCTCTGTTTCAAAATAATCACGCTGTGAAATGTCAAGCGCCCAAGGACATCATGACAAGGTGCCAGGCAGGGCTTAATCTGTCACCAGATATTTTATAGATTGCTTCTAAAATGGAGTAGGCAGGTGTCTGGTAGCCACAGCCATAGCGAGAAGTATGATGGATGTGGTGTGCTGGCTGCAAACATTCTTTCAGGTTGCAGACCACCAGAGCTGAATGTGTGGCCGTGATGTTGCTCAGACCACCAATTCACAGAGTTGGAAATTGCGACCATCCAAACCTTCTACTCCTCCTAGTCTCCCATCCAAGCACTAACCAGGCTCAATCCTGGTCATCTTGCCAGAGCAGATGAGATCGAGATGGTGGATTGGGTCATGAGAGGATCTCCATCGTAATTGACCCCTTGACCCTCAACTCCGGTAGAGATGCCTTTCTATTTGGAGCCCTGAGCAGGATTCATATATGGGTGCATCACTTGACTACACACATCATTAACTGGACAAGCTACGTAACTTAACTTTTTCACAGTTGCGTGAAATAGTGAAGGTAATAATACTTATTGCAGTACAGTAAACAATATTCTACAAGAACTATAAGCTTATTTTTAAATACCTTTTATAAGGACCTGAGTCCAGCCGATGGTTGGTGTATCCAGGGCTTAATTTCAGCCGGAGCTGTCCAGAGCCCAGCTATTGATGCAGAATTGGGGGGGGGGGGCGTGGGAGGGTTCCATTGGGTTGCGAATTGGGGGGCCAAGGAAAATATTCCACTGCGAAAATAACCCGTGGGTGCACCTCAAAAAAATGTTTTCTCATAAGCCAGGGCCACCCCCCCCCCCACCCCCTTCAGCTGCTTGGTGACTCTGGACATTTGCATAGCTCGCTTATGCCGTCACACCGCCACCGCTCAACGCACGTCTGTGCGTCCACACCCCCTTCCTTTGCACCCCGTGCTCCTCCTGTCTGTCCGCGGCCACGACGACGACGCGCCAGCAATCGCTGGCCGAGAGTCAGGAGGAGCACCTGACTCGCTCGGAGCGGCTGGTGGGCTGGGTGCAGGCCATGCATCGCTCGCTCGGGGAGAAGCAGCGGCGGGACAGCGGTGAGGGAGGTGCGGGTGGTGAGGAGGGCAAGAGGGAGCCGTCGGATGCAGCTGAGCTGGAGCGCAGCCTCAAGGAGCAACAGGTGATGACCGAGATTCAGATGGTGGCTACGCGGCAGCGAGGGTTGGTGGGGGGATCACCACACAAATGTTGTGAGGCTCCCTTCCCGTGGGGGCGTCGAGGTGGTGCCGTTCCCTGGGTCGCCAGCGTGATGCAGTGCGGAAATAGTTGACTGATCTCCATCTGAATGGGATAGAATGTTTCTCCCTCACACTCGTGGGTTTTCTCCAGGTGCTCTGGTTTCCTCCCATATGTAAATACTTGTTAATTGGCCGATAACACCTTAATATATAGAGAGGATTGCAGAGCTTAGTGCGGAGACGATTTGATGCCGGCTCACCATATCGTTGATACCTTCCCCGTTAGTCTGTGGCACCAATTCGCGCCCCTGAGTCGTTCTTCCTCCGTCCGTCAAATGAGGGCCTACAACATATGATGACCTAAGGTCCTCCTGACATTAGCACATGGATTAGTCGGGCCCTGCTCATGGGACTTTCTGATGGGCAAGCTTCGCGCATGATTTCGACACTGGCGATCTGAGAGCGGAGATAATCGAGAGGTAAGTGTGTCGTCCCAGCCACGCAGGGACGATTCGCTCCCTTGATTCGCTCTTGTTTGCCGCTTCCGCTTGCAGAGCTTCGCGGAGGAGCTGTCTGGCCGCAAGGAGGAGATCGCCGAGGCCATCCAGAGATCCCAGACCTTCCTCGCCCTCTGCGGAGACAAGTAACTCCCACCCCCCAGACCTGGCCCCAAACTCCGTTGCCTAAGAGCCTTAAGCCCGGGCTCCTAACACCTGAGCAATAGGTCGCGTGAATCCGAATCAGCTCTCGAGAAGAAACACAACGCGACTTAATCATCGCCCCCTGCAGCTGCTTTGTCCGCATCCGAGCAAGTAGTTGTGCAGCAAGGGGAAATAAAACGGGGTATATTTCAGGATTTTAACGACGAACCGAAGTTCGCAAATGTGTCCCGCGATGAGATTTGTCACGACAAATTTCTGAGCAGATCGATGCTTGAATGCAGAGTCTGTCAATACTGTGAGCAACCGGTTGCGCAACTGCTCGCAACCGGTTGTACAACTGTTCGTAACCAGTTGCAGAGATGTCCTCATACAAGCGAGTCAGATGCATGCAAACGAGTTGCACAACCTATCGCTCGGGGGTGCAGGCGGCTTAATGAAACATTTGTCGCCCTATGCCTCAAAGGATCAAACATGTCACACACTGCAGCGCTTGTTGTGTGAGAATTAACAAATGTTTATTGGCATGAATACTTGCTCCACGTGTCCTGTCGGATGGTGCTGGGAACATCAAGTCTGAAAAGGGAACAAAAGGTGAAAGGGGCATTGTGGAGGTGCCAGAGATGATGCTACGGGTGGGATAAGGATCAGTGGAAGGAATAGGCCCGGTCGCTGGTGAGATGGAGTTAGTAACAATGGGAAGGCTGGTACTCGTGGGGTTATTGGGAGGTCTAATACCTGGGTTGTGTGAAGGTCAGTTGAATTACTAGAACTTTGGCCTGGTTTGGTGAATTGCCAATTATAGCACTGCATGGCCAGGCGGCTCAGCAATAGAGTGAATAGGTTGCAAGTTCCGATCCTAGTTTGGGGTTAACTCGGCCTATCAACCCTCCGGGTTCGATAAAATAGGGACCACTTTGTGGAGAAGTCGACATTGGGTGTCTTATCCACAGACTGTCCCACATGATAAACACATGATAAACATATGATAAACACATGATAAACGCATGATGAACACATGATAAACAGGTGGAATTCTGACACCGGTTCAGGGCTGTAAACAGGCGATGAGCACCACCTCAATGCTCATTTGAGTAGGAAATCACTTTGACAAAGACCATAATAATGAATCGCCGATTCCTGATGATGCCGAATTGCCAATTGCTGATGATGCAGACGTGCTCATTGCTCATCTCCCTCCAGGCTGACCCCGGAGCAGTACCAGGCGGTGGAGTCTCAGACGCAGCAGCTGAAGCAGGCGTACGAGGCTCTGTGCGAGCAGTCGTCGGCCTACACGCAGGAGCTGCATCACAGCCTGCAGCAGGAGAACAGCATCAAGGTATTACGCCGTCGCCATGGCAACCAGATGCTTGCCAGGCCCACACGCATTCATGTACACACTCGGGCATGCTGCTGGCCTTTAAAAGCGAATAACGCTGACATACATGCGCAGATGAAACCGACGATCCCCTACGTAGCTGTGTGCAATGTTTGGGAGAGAATTGTATTAGCAAGCAACAATTACTTTTTGTTTTACATTGGTAAGCCACGTGAGGAATGAGACGTGTCCGTAAATATGCACACCGACGGGATGGAGCAATGAAATCGGCTGGCGTGCATGTGCTGCATCATTGCGTCGCAGGATCATGGGGGGTGGGAGCAACAACAACAAAAATCAGCGACTTGGGGAGACCTTCATGCAGCAGCGGATTTGCAATGGCTGTTGATGATAAAGCCGTATGACAGATGGAGGTGAAGAGGATGGTCTTGAGAAAGGACTAGAGCACAGGGATGGAGTTAGTGATGCAGACGAGAATGGGGAATGTGTTCTAGACTACGGAGGAATAGAAGAGGAGTGACCATCTTAGTGAGCAGAGTTTGACTGGAGATAGGTTGACTATGGGAAGGCCTAGCTCGTGTTCAGATATCACACACGATACCACACCCCCTCCCCCGACACACACTACCTTTTCACGATTATATATTTTTTTTTCATTGAGTCAAACGCTAACTAAACCGCACGAAACTTTCATTCATAATTTATTATTTGTCTCGTGCAAAACGGCAAGAGTAACAGGCTGGCTCAAATCAGTGTCTTGTAAACACGGGGCATTGCCCTGTGCATTGCAGACGTGGTACATGCGCGTGAGTGCCGATGCTTTAACCTGCCAATGGCTTCTAATGCTTTGTCGAGTGGTGCAAGTGCGTGGTGGACTGTGTTTTATGCCGGGTGTTGTACCATATTCACATCTTCAGCAGCGGGCCACATGTCACGTTACATATGTGGGCAGTGTGGATGTTTAAAGACTTGTCATTTTCAGGTTCAGTTTTTTTTTTTCAAATGTAATTAATACAGTCAATTCTTGATTATCCAGGGGTGGGGGGGCGGGGGATAATGGGGTTATAGGGGTGGTGCGGATAAAAAAAAACATGGTAAATACAACACATGCAAAACTGGCCATGTAAATTAATACCTGTGGAGAGTGGGGGAGGTTAGGGGAAAACTTAAGAGTGTGTTACAACAATTTTAGAGCTTCTTAAAAGAATCAGTTTACTTGCCCACGTGTGTTTGCGATCACGTGGGCAACCAAGTCACCGTCTCTCGACGAGTGAGGAGCAGCTGATAATTGACCCATGTGTGCACGTAAAAAGGTGCGAACGAGCACATTTAATCCGCGGCCCGCGTAAAATACACCCACAGATAATCGAGAGTTTACCTGTATTGATTTCATTTGGCCCACAATGCCCAGACACACCGGGACAACAAGATGTGGACTGGGTCGCATGTTGGTGGTGGTTCGTTATCTGTAAACAACCTTCAAAGGCGCGCGTTGTTGTTGTTAATATTGCATTTTGAGCTTAACCCGAACGGTGTGATGTCTTGCTTTGGAAGTACTAACCCTCGGCGTGTCGCCGTGATGGATTCGAGAGAAGCTTTGTTTAACCCGACGGCTTTCGCTTTGCCCTAACGAGCATGTGCCGAGTTCAGCGGTTGCGCAGATCTGTATTTTGTCCCTTTGCAAGACCTAACGTCTCACACTACGCTCAATGTTACAACCGAGTTCTCACCTTTGCTGACCCGGTAAGTGCAAACAGTATCCGAATGTTAAACAATACGGTATGGTGGGGTAAGAGGCCTATGTGGGGTGAAAGGTCTTTTTATCCTGGTGCTAACAGAAGTGATGTCATCAGCCACAATGATCAGCTTGATCTGAAGGCTGACACCAGCTGCTGCTTAATGCAACAGACAAGCTACGTGTGAGCTCCAGGACAATAAAGGCCTTTCACCCCAAGTATGCCTCTTATCCCACCTGACTATTTTAGATTTTATATACAATAGAATATACTAAGTTCTATTAAAAAAAAAACATGAGCGGATACCGCATGTATAATGGTAGTTTTTTTGGGGGACCCATATACACTTATTTTTTTTGTATAAACGAGCATGGATTTTAATGCAGAACTTACATAACGCATGAATGCATGTTGATTAACCATAACCATCAAATATAATTAACATTATGTTGTGTAATAATATAAGATAATAGTTGTGTATGAGCATGACTGAACACATGGCCATTCTGTGCAAAGTAATATTTGTCTTTGCGGCCATTTTGTCTCGCAAGGTGAATGGCCATAATGCAAAATTGCCACCTGTGCAATGAGATACATGTCAACAAAACACCTTGTGTGCACTCTGCTTTGCAGGTGGACGATGTAATCTCCGGAGTGGTGGACCTGTGTACCATGGAAACCTTCCCAATATTCCATGCCATGCTCAAAGGCCTGATCGATCAGGAGACGGGCCTGGCCCTTCTAGAGGCACAGGTGGCCACATCGGGCCTCGTAGATCCTCGCTCCTCACGTCGCCTTCACCTGGATGAAGCCCTGGCCGAAGGTCTCATGGATAAGAACACGGCTGAGAGCCTGTGGGAGCTCGAGTCCGCCCTGAGTCGCGTCCACGCAGCTGGCCTTGAAGATGTTGGAGGTTTGATTTTAATTGCGACAGCGCTGGAAAGAGGGCTGATGTCAGAAGCCATTGCTGTGAAGTTGATGGAAGTCCAATTGACAGCAGTTGGACCTCAAAATTGCACTTCTGTGCCAGAAGTATTCTTAAGGCTGCAGGAGAAGTGGAGGATGCACACACAGCCTCTGATCGACCCGAACACGGGAGAAAAGCTCACCCTCGCAGAGCTGACCGGCAGAGCCATCGCTGATCCAGAAACGGGGCTCCGCCTGCTGCCCGTCACCCAGACGGCCTGCGGCATGATTTCACTCAAGCCCGGCCGGAGGGTAAGCATTTGCCGTGCTGTCAAGGAAGGCCTCGTGGACCGACAAGTCACTGTGAGGCTTCTTGAAGCCCAGCTTTTCGCTGGCGGCATCGTGGACCCACGCACGGGCCACCGCCTGACTGTCGAAAAAGCACGGCGCCATGGCCTGATTGACCGGGAAATGGCGAACGAGCTGGTGGTGCGGCAGACCAAAGCCGGCGGGGTCATCGACCCTGCAACGGGCGACAGGCTCGATCTGGAGGAGGCTATAGCCTCCGAGCTGATCTCGCTGAAGAGCGCACTGTTGGTCCTCGAGGCACAGGGCACGTTCCGCGGGCTGGTTTGGCCCGGCTCTGTCGGGACGGTGCCCATTTCGGAGGCTCTCGAGCAAGGGATGATGAGGGTCGAGGTTGGGCACAGCGCACTTTCCAAGCGGCACTGTGTGGCAGGGCTATTCTGGATGGAAACAGCAGAAGCCGTCTCTCTGGAGCAGTCGGTGGCCTCCGGGATCTGCGACGAGGCCCTCTGCCGCACATTGAGTGCCACTCACGTCCCGGACAGCATGGGCACACGTGGAACGAGGACTCATGCAAATGAGGGCGATGAACAAATTATCAGTGTGCACCCCTCTCCAAGTATCCCCCTGTGTAGCAAGCTTTGCACGGTCTCTCACGTCTCTCAGATGAAAGGCATATGTGCAGTGCAGGGAGATTGGGTGCAGGTTGTGGGCGAGCATGCCTCCACAACAGAAGCCCACATCTTAATGGGCCTGGAAGTCGAGCTCATAGAGTTTATACGGGGACACAGCTACATAAACGCGCTGACGGGCGACCGGTTGGTTATGGTGGACCGAGATTTCCCTTGCCTTGAGGGAATCGCCCGTGAGATTTGCAAGACGGCCGCGGCGGAGTGCGAGGGTGCAGACGGATACTCTACGGGGAGTGAAGCCATTGTGCCAGACTGTGAACAAATCTCAGGAAGAGAAAAGAAACGGGATTTTTACACATGCCCACAGCAGGACTGTGCAGGCTACGTGTGCGACAGTTTTAATGTGAATAACTCCTTGGATATTTTTGATATGTCGATGAAGAGTTGTGACAATGCCGTTCGTCAAGATGACATGGCTGGTTCATTGAATGCACAGCAGGACTGTGGTGGTAGAGTCAATGGGGCCGAGAGGGATGGAAGTACTCGTGAACATTTTAAAATATTTATTCCAGAAGAAAATGCTGAACCCATGAGTGAAGTGGATTGCAGCAGACCAAAAATGCGAGACCAAAGAGAAGGGTGTGCAGGAACAGACGAGGAAGCCACCGTTAGTAGAAATGTAGAAACGTCCTGCACAGTAAAACGTGAAGTGGAGCAAGAGCTAAATTATAAAACTAATTTGCACAATCAGAGTGATTTCTGTGAAGGCGTAATGTCAGTAAATAACACAAACCTCGAATTAGAAGAAGCAACCCGTGTAGCGCTTCAAACTGTGAAACGTGCATCGTTGAAAGCGATTGCTGAAGGCATATCTTTAATACAGAACGAACATTCTCACAAACCACAAGACAGATGGCCATCACACGAAGATACGTGTATGGATATTCCTCGCGATGGTGTGACGTGTTCTCTAGACATTATAGGCCATGCAAAGCCAACGGAAAGCACTTCACGAACCAAAGAGGATGAAGATCACTCCCGGGTTGACAATGGAACTCCCTCTGTGGGCATGGATGAGTGCGATGACTCTGATAGCAATGAATTCTGGGACTCGCAGATTTACATTTTAGACCAAAGCCGACTCGATGATGCATCTCCCGTGTCAAACATAGCGCCGTGCGTGCACCTATCATCTCTGCAATCCCAGGCCACTGCGGGGCAGTGTTTGAGGTCACCTCTCAATGCAGAGATCATGACGGTGCAAGATCTGCTGAACGACAGGCTTATTAGCTTGGAAAATGCCAGAGACCTTCTAGAACGCCAGATTCAAGCCGGAGGCATCATGGACAGCAGTGGCAAACAGCTTAGCCTCCAGGAGGCCGAAGGGGCGTTTATTGTTGAACCAGCTCTTGCTACATGTTTACAGGTAGCTTTTTTGGCAGCGCAAGGTTTTCCAGACCGAAGCAAGGGCAAAATATCGCTGTTTGATGCTATCGGGAAAGGTCTTGTGGGTGCGGCTGAAGGCACAAGGCTGCTCCGTTTTCAGGCCGAAAGTGGTGGCATTTTGGACCCATCGACGGGTCAACGGTATGGGCTGGGAATGGCCGTGGACCTGGGATTAGTGGACACAGAGGCGGTGATGGACGTTTGGATGTCTCAGCTGAGGGACAGAGGAGCGATCTGCGACAGTGTGGGTGGTCCCTGGATGACGCTCGACGAGGCAGTGGACAACGGGACCTTGCCAATGCAGGCGGCGTTGAAGGTGTACGAAAATCTTGGACTTTTCGGCGGGTTCGTGGATAACCATGCACAGGAATTCATGACGATCTCGGAAGCTCTGGAAGAGGGTATTTTTGATGCTAAGCTGGCGCAAAGAGTGTTCAAGCCAGAAAAGATAATTAGCGGTGTGATACATCCGACGACGGGAAGGGTTCTCACTGTGAGTGATGCTGTCAACACCGGTCTCCTCGACATGGAGACGGGCCTGAGAATTTTGGAGACACAGGTGTGCGCCGGCGGGGTCACAGACCTCCGGCGCAAGAAGAAGTTGTCGGTCACACTCGCCGCCAAGCTGGGGCTCGTGGTTGGAGGGGCGCCTGGTGTGGAGGCCCTGATGAAGCTAGAAAAGGCGTCCAGGGGGAAGAATGTGGACGCAGCGACACGGCAAAAGCGAGCATCAATCTGCATGGAGACCGAGGGTCTCATTGACCCCCAAACCAAAAGTCTGGTCACCCTACCCGAGGCGGTTGACAGGGGCCTGCTGGACAAAGAGACCGCCATGCTGCTGCTCAGAAAGCAGATTGCACATGGAGGGGTCGTGCACCACCAGTCGGGACTGAGGCTGCGCCTGAGCGACGCTCTGGCACGTGGGCTCGTGGATGAGGACACCGTGGAGGAGCTGTCCTGGGTTGAGCAGGCCTGCCGACAGGGTTTCGTGCACCCGGAGACGATGGAGGCAGTTCCTTTAGCACATGCCAGGGAGATGAAGATTTTGGATGAGAGAGCGGCAGAGGAGCTTGAGGCTCGGCTCGCAGAATGCGGCGCCGTGTTCGACTTCAGGTCGGGCAGGACGGTCGCCCTCAAGAAGGCCGTGTCCCTAGGCATCCTGAGCGAGTCGGCCGTGGTGAGGGCTGGCGAATCGTGGGATGTGACACACGGCCTCCTGGATCCCGACAGCTGCCAGATCGTGTCGTACGCGTCGCTGGTGCAGAAGGGTAAGACGGACGTGCGCACGGGGCAGCGGTTCCTCACGACCGAGCTGTGGAACGGCGTGGAGAACGAGGAGACTGGCGATCGCATGACGCTGCTGGAGGCGGTGAGGGCGGGGCAAGTGGATGCCGTGCCGGCACTCCGGGCCTTGCAAGCTCAGGCCGACACTGGTGGGATTGTGGACATATGTTCGGGCGAGAGAATCTGCATTGTCGACGCCCTCAAAAACGGCATGCTGGACGCGGCCACGACGAGTGCAATTTTGGAGAATCAGCTGGCCAATGGGGGCATCGTGGACATTTGGTCTGGTGAGAGGATGACGCTGGATGAAGCGCTCGTAAGAGGTCTATTGACTCGTGACATCTACCAAACACTAAAGGCCAAGAGTAGCTCCGTGTCGGAAAAATCCGACGCAGTGAGTAAAAGCGCTCAAATTCCAAAGAATTCACCTGCAAACAATATTCCAGCTGTTTCTGAAATAACACACAATGAAAATGATCCTCGTAAACAGAAGCAATCTCTGGCAGAGAAAACACACGAGCAGCAGTGTCAGAGCCATCCCGCAAATGATGCGGTTATTCCTGAAATAGAGTCGATTTCCAAACAGTTTTCGCACGGCACGGAGAACAGTGCTCTTGCTTTTGCGACAGTAATATCGATTGAGGAAGCCGGAGGCAAAACGGTGCGAGCACTGCACGATCATTTCACGCGCGGCTTGCAAAACGACAGGGAAGTTTTTGAAGCAACAGAAGAAATGGTCGATGGCAATCTCGGTGAACGCGCCAAGAGCGGCATACACGATGCAGGCCAAGGGATTTGCGGGTTTTCGTCAAGTGACACAGAAACGGAGGTGGAGGGGCAAGAAGTAAAAGTGAAGAAAGTTGATGGTGAGGAGAGCGATGCGGATGGCGATGCGGATGTTGATTATGGAGCACGGCAAGGACCCGGAAGTCATCGAGCGAACGTTGACGCAGTGAAACGTGGACGTGGGCGATCGCCCGGGCAAATTGTTGGTGAGGAGACGAATGAGATGGGCATTTCACAGGGGATGTTGGAGAAGGCTGGAAATGTGAATATGACCGATGGCACTGAAGTTGGGGAAAATTTGGAGCGCGGACGCAGGGAAATTGTTGACGAGTGGATGAATGAGATGCGCTCTTTGGAGGGAATGCAGGAGAAAGCCGAAACAATTGCGGTAAATCTGATACGTTCACAAGAATCGCAACCGAAAGAAGCTTTGGGCAAATGTGACCCCGTGGCCGATTCCTCAAAACAGGTTGGCACATACGCAGCACACGTAATCATCAATTATAAGACGTGTTTTATAATGTCTAACATATTGTTAAGAGGGTATTTGTGGGAGGTGGTTGGGTGGCTCAGGGGATCAAAGGGTTCTGACTAAAATGTATTCTCAGGTGGAGTGAGTTCATGGTCTCAGCTCGTTCGTGAATAACCGCACAAAGAAACCCATCTTTTTACATATGAATATTCATTAATTGGCTGAAAAGATCTTTATAAATAGAGGACTGCAGAGGTCGGGCAGTCATTGGTAGCACCAGCTTATCGCCTGGCTGCCTTCCAGCTTGTATGTGGTTCCTCTGGAAATTTTGCGCGAACGACGCTAAAATAAAACTAAACATTACTTTTTAAATGAGGGGTTTTCACTTAATTCGGCTAAATTCTCGCTCTGCCAATTTAAAAAAAAAAACACATCTGTTTGACTGCCACGTGCCTGCCAACCCACAAGACATGCTAAAGTGCGGCCCCTAGTGTGTTTGTGTATATGTAAGAAAGGGTCACTGGCGGGGATCTTGGTAGTACTTCTGCGACGTCTCCTTCTGCGGACCGCTCGTTTTACGAGAGGTCAAAAGAGGAATTGTAATAAAATTTCGAATAAGATAAGAACGTTAAAAACTCATTTGTGATTGTCTAACGATTCTATGTCTTTTTTTCCAGCATCCACTGAGCAAGCAGCAGTGTCTGGAGCACTTTGAGAATGTGATGAGGTTGATTTCGTTGGTTCTGGACGTGAGGGTTCGACAGAAGAGCCTACAGCGAAGCGGTAGTGATGTCGATATTGAAGATCAGCTCGATCGATTGCGGGTGAGTTTGTCTGTCTGTCTGTGCATTGTCCACAGCTCCAAATTTAATACATATATAAACACCGCAGGGTCCAAAAATTTCGATGGTTGCTTAATTTCGCCCACATCCCTATCCATTACTGACCGCATTAAGCTAAATCTCAGAAGCAAACGGCCGTGGCCCTGGAGAACCTACAAATGGCCGCTCGCATTTCTTCCACCCCCTACCACCTCCGTCCAGCTGTTCGAGGAGGAGTTGTCCTCGCTGGAGTGCGAGGCCTCCCGGGAGCTGGAGCACGTGCGGGCCGCCCTTTGCAACGCGAGCCCAGCCGTGCCCGCTGAGCTCCTCCAGGCTCTTGGCAAGGACTCGGCCAACCTGAGCAAATGCCTGCGGTCGGCTCGCCAAGCCTCCTCCGCCCAGCGGGAGGCGCTGACGGAGGGCCTGCGTAAAGCCAAAGTGCGTCCGTCCTCAGTATTAAAGCTGCCCGGACGCTGCCCTCTTGCTTAGCGTGAATAGTAATGTACTCTATGTTGCCCTTTTCGTTGGAACTTCTTTCTGACCGTACGTAGCCAACCATGCCAATCGGAGGTGCGGGGGAAGGACAACGAGCCAGACACAACATGGAATGAGTTTTCAGTCTAGATTTAATAATAATAATAAGTATTTATTTGAGATGTTTTTGGGAGAAAAGGAAACAAAAGCTGCCTCCAAATCACCTGGGGTGCGCTCGATCTCGCTATATCTCAGAAGCTGAGCGGAGTTGAGCCTGGATAGTTCTCGGATGAGCAACCACCGTGCCCAACGCGTTTTATAGGCTACATTGTGGGCAGTGGAGGCCAGTACAGAAACGTCTATAGTTGTGCTGTACTTTGATCCCATATCTATGATCGCCACCTTGACCAGCATGGTGAAGTATGGCCAAATAAAATAAACCTGCATGGCGTTGAAAGGCCCTCTCATCCAGCGGTGGGTTGACAAAAGGGCTGCACACGTGCATTGCAACACCCTCAAATGGTAACCTCTCATTTATCCACCTTTGTGGACTGACAAATTGTTACCATTGTAAGCCACAGTTTGCTTGAATATTCGTCGTTATTTTTTTCCCTATTGTGGTGAGCGTAGAATCTACATTACAGGGTGTCAGCAAGGGTGTCGTCTGCAATTAAATGCAGTAGACTCCCGATTATCCGCACTAATGATGGGGAGGACGGCCACAGATAATTATTCAGAATCGTGAATAATCTAAAAAGTATTCAATTTTCACGGATCTCTATGCCAAAACCCACGAATATAGGTATACATTACAAATCGATGCGCATGCTCAGTGATACCACTTTCCTGCTCCCACGCAGAAGACTCCGCTCACTAAGTGGACAGCAGCAAAGCCACACCAATGAACATCAATGAAACTCCACCCCCTGTTGTAAAGATATGCAACTACTGTACTGTAGTGGCGATCGCGTGGATTTTGGATTTATTCGGAGCACATATTGGTTCAGATTAAGCAGGTGACTTGTAATAAACATTTCCAAGAACAACAACGTTTAACTGTTTTTAGATTATTTATTTGGGCTTAAGGAAAAATCCATGAGTTCTTAATTTACGTCAAAATCTCAAGTATGCGGTTAATCCGCAAATCGGACAAACCGCACACGGATAATAGAGAGTCTAGTGTAATCATATTCGGAAAGAAGTTAGAACTGCGAGGTTTATATGTTGGCAACATGTTCCTTATAGACTTGAGTTTTTAGAACCGAGAAGCTCGAGTGACCTCAACAGCTCATAACAGAGCAAATCTAGTTGCGATGTGTGTCATAGATGGCCCAAATCTGCACCACAGAGTTTTATATTCTGGACAATAGAGCGTTTCTATTGCCCTGTTCATATTGCCGTCAGCTGACCACAATGAGCATGAATAACCTAATTTTCTCACTTTGCAGGAGCTAAGAGAGCAGAAGGCCGCTTGTCCAATACTGACCGCAGAGGAGGTCACGGAGAGAGGTCATGTACACGAGGAGAAGGTTTGCGTCTTCAAGGACATCAACCAAAACCTATTCCATAATTTCAGATGGCGAAATTGTAACTTGAACTGTTCGATGACAAAATTAACGACGAACCTAAATCCTCTTTTGTCTCTCGTTCTCGCTGTAAGGGAGGTGGCCTGTGCTGCTTTACTTTTCCACGTTGTTTGCGATTTAAACCTCGGTCTTTCTCAGGCCCGGCCTTAACGTAAACGAACAAAGAATTTAAAGCGCAAGTTGGAAGTGATTCTCGGATTTTATAAACGACCCCATAATTGTTGTCACTCGTGTGACTTATCCTTCGAATCGGGCGAATGCCACAAAACTCCTGAATTCATTAATTTTCGGTACCCTTCATGGCTTACCTTCTGAGTTGTTGCCGCTGTGATTTCACACCCCAAAGGCCGGGCCTGACCCTTACTGCTAACCGTTGGGTGTCTGTATTAATGCCTCTGTTTGGCCGCAAGTCTGGCTCAAATGTTTTCTCCCAGATGTCTTTGCATGGCAGCAAGAGGTCGATGGAATTTGGTGGGCAGTTACCCTCAGGCTTCGCCAAAGACTTTGTCAACCTGTGCAGGCCAGAGCCATTTGTAAAGTTAAAATCCCTCATATGATAAATATGCTTCAAATCATGAACATGATTTATCATCAATGTAACTAATATGCCATAGATAACGACAAAAATGACAATCATGTAGAGTAAATAATATTTATGCATTTATTTTGTACATTTAAATTTACTGCATACATACATTCCTTTTTGTGCGTGGTCATTTTTATCAGATGCGAACGTAACATTTTGACGAATGCGGAATATGCCAAGAGCACTTGTCAAGAGAATTGGCGGAACGTCCCCAACGCAAGAGCCTCGTGCAAAAAAAAAAAAAGATCCTTTGAGACTCGCCGAGGCTTTCAGGAATAAACAAAAGCACACCGTTGCCATCGAAGAGGGCTCCTTTACTCTTCACGGCCTCCTGCTTGACGATGCTCTTTTGTCGATTCCAAAGCGCCGTTGATTGCGAACGCCGCCGAGGAAAACGCGACGGCGGCGGTCTGCGGGTGGCGGCTTTTGCGATTTTACTCAGCTCTGTTAACCCTCTCGGCGCCTCCTAACTTCTGCTGCTGTAAACGCTCTTCCTGGGGCTTGGTGAAGATCCTGGTGTACGTGGAACGTCGGGGGGGGGGGGGGGGGGGCGGGGCGGCAACGTTTTGTCCCAACGGTTCTAACCGCACGCCGACGTTGGCCCAACGTTGCGCGTTTTACAGGCTCGGATTTTTCGTCACCTTTTGAAATTGCTCGTCCCATCGCGGGGGATGTTCCCGTTTGCGGCTTTGAAATGACAAATATATAATAGGCGCCGTTTTAGGCAATGACCCTTTGTCACAGCGCGTAAAACCCAGGACGAGAGGGAGTTTGTCCACAAGCTAACAAAGGTGCCGTGTAGAAGGGCTGTCGCCTGAATCGTCACCTGTTTTAGATTTTTCGCACGAACCGTATGTTGAACTTCTATCCAAGCGTGCCAATCGGATAGGCGCGGGGGAAGGACAGGAAACTGAACACAAAAGGCAGCTCTAAGAAATGAGTTTTCGAGTCCAGATTTAAGAAGCACATAGCTCCAGTGGCTTGCTAATACCGGAAGAGCTTTGGAGACGGCCCAGAGTGTTTCGTGACGAATGTGCATTTTTTTTCCTCTTAGTTGCGCTCGTGCACCACTGCCAACGTAGCAGCAGCATCAACCAAATCGATGGTAACGGAGCAGTTTGCTGTGCTCGCACAACCTGGGGTGTTGCTTGCCGTGCGCATGTGAAAGTAACGAAACATTTTTTTTTGCAGGAGAATGCCTGCACGGTGAACGCTGTCGTCTGACCTACCGTTTGTCGCTTGAACAATGGCTGCACCTGTATACGAACTGAACTAACCTCGTGAGCGTGCGTGTGTGGTGGTGGTGGTGGTGGTGCTCACTAACAGCACTTGCCCCAAAAAGTATTTTCAGGCTTTACGGGGGATCTTTGCCTTTGCGGGCGGTTTTCGAAACGAAAGTCCGACCTCGAACGCTTGTACCTCTTTGGGATTCTGGGTTAAAATCTGCATGAGCCAGTCTGTTCACTCTGCTGCTTCGGTGAAGTTTCCTCTCGTTCGTAATCACAATAACTCCACTTGATAAATCGTAACAAAGTTCCTTCTTCTTCGGCACGACTATGGTTTTTTTTCAATCATTCACTTTCAGTCTGCAATGATTCGCGTTTGTCACACGCACTGTCACCCTAAGACTCCTCCACTGACAAACTCGCGCTATGCGGGAAGCTATGCGGGTTTGAATTGGAAAATCTCTCAAAGACAATATTTAAGTGTTACGATCATAATTTTCTACAGGAAAACTGTTACAAATAATTGAAAGTGGCTTCGCACTGGAAAGGGAGCATGGAGCAATGGTCATCTCTTGTTTACAGGCCCCAGAGCCAGTGATATAAATTCCACATTTCCATGACGAGGGTGAATTTATCCACAAGATAACCCAGTGTTGTCAACAGTTAACGACGAATTACAGTGGCCTGGAGACTTTGAAGGTTGGGTAGCTGTGGTCGGCGCGACTGTGATTCTGAGCTTCGGCCAATCGCATTGGAATGGGGGGTTCTCGGACGTCGGGAGCAAGACGATGTCCTCGACCTGGCAGCCGACGAACGTACACGGGGGCGATGACAGCTGCTTGCGTGAGAGTTTTCTGAAAGGATTCTTCTCCGTCTCGAGTATTCGTTATGCCACGCAGCACTCTTGGCTGGCACGGTGCCGGGTTCTCAAATCCCGGCCCGGGTGACTTTGGGCATTCCGTCCATCCGTGACCGTTAAAAAAATTAGTTTGGCAAATCAGCGGTCATTTCCTTACGGATGCACTCTCACCCCCTTGTCATGGTAACGTGGAGCTTGTTACGACCAGCTCGGGGCTATAAACGGGCGGCGAGCTCCGGCGCGCGCGCGAATTTGAGCGGGCAACCACTTTGACATTTCCCTTTTGGGTTCTTCTTTCCACGCAACAAAGGGGGACACTTTTCCACGCACCGCATCGACCTCTGGAAGCGCGTCTAGCATCAGCTGTCGTTTTCCCCCCTCCTCCCCCTCCCCTCCCCCTGTGCCCCCCCCCCCCGTGTCGGCGCCCGCGTGTGCCCTCCGCCACAGCTGAACGTGGAGAGCAAGCGGGAGGAGTTCTCCCGGCGGCTGGACGAGCTCGAGTCGTGGCTCGCGGAGGCGAAGGGCGCGCTCGCGAGCCAGCCCGTGAGCGGCGAGCTGCTCGACATCCAGAGGCAGCAGGAGAACCACCAGGTGAGGGGTCTCGACGAGGGTCGGCCGTGACGCGGGGACAGCGGCCGTCGTTGTCGTGTGCCGTTTGTGCGGGAACGCGGCTTACACAAAAATATACCAACCCTCTGACTTCCCCCCCCCCCTCCCCCCAGCCGATTGGTAGTTATTTTACGGGCGTCGAGGCGATATTGGACTGAGTCAATCCCCGCCCCGCCCCTCGAATCAGTGCAGCGAGTGGTTGAAGCTCTCCTGACACCGATTCGGTTTGGCTCCGCACCTTTTGGGGGTAAAAGTCGGGTGAACGGATGCAGCGGCTCGGGACTCCACAGCACCCTGCGACTTCCACATCGTTCACCCACTCCTCCGTTGCTCCGTCATCTTCCCCCCCCCTCCCCCCCACGCCACGCCACGCCGCCGTGCTTCCAGGCGCTGCAGAGGGAGCTGATGGGGCGCGGCGCAGAGGTGACCGCCACGGTGTGCGCCGTGCGCGACTTCCTGCGCGAGAACGGCGCCCGCCTCGACCCCGAGTACGTGGCGCGCACGGAGGAGCGTCTGAACGCACTCGGCAGCCTCCACGAGGCCGCGACGCGGCTCTCCGGAGAGGCGCAGCAGAGGCTCAACGAGGCGCTCGGAGACGTCATCAAGCAGCAGACCGAGAAGGTGCGGCGTCGCGAGACGAGGTTGTGAGCTGCTGCTGCTGCTGTGTGTCTGTGTGTCAGTGTGTGCCGACAACGACCACCGGTATTAGTGGTGCCAAGATCGGCTCTGTGGTGGAGGAGGCTGGTGAAGGGCGCTACCAGGGAGCGGTGGTGTAGCGGTCAGCGCGCTGCGCTACGAACCCGGCGACCCGAGTTCAATTCGAGCATTAGCGAACCGCTTTCCCAAACCCTCTGAAAACATTTCACGATCGAGATAGGGGCCCGTTTTAGTCGCAATTTCATTATTCAAAACAAACCGCCTTTTACTTCCGGTCCTGGCTGCAGGTGGCGACGGAGGAGCAACTGGAGGACATCCGCGGGAAGACGGGGGCCCTGCTGCAGTGGCTCACTGAGCTGGAGTCCCGGCAACAGCGGACGAAGGAGGAGGAGGAGGGGGAGGAGATGGACGGGTCCCGGTCCCCTGAGATGGGGAGCGTTGGGTTGTCCGAGTTGCTCCAGCAAGCGAAGGTGGGCACCCTGCACAGAACGCTCCGGCTGGGTTGTGAGAGCTCTCTACGGAGTTGTTGTTAAGATTATTTAGATCAATTTGACTGCTGTACATTGTCCACGTGATGATAAGCCACTTTTTTGTTGAGATAGTATTTGCGGCCAGGTCGCTTCTGCAAACAAAGCTACTAGCTCAGTGCGCTTTACCTGGTAAAATAAAAAATAGTTCAGTTTCATTTGTATTTTTTTGCGACTTGTTTACCTTTCCTATACTTTTCACTCCTTTCGTGTTTTTGTATTGTTTGCCGTTGCAACGTTCTGACCTGCCCCGACTGGACATCTGTGAAAAAGAGCTTTACAGCTCATCGAATTCCTCCAGTATGAATAAATATTCGCATTCTGACATTTCCACAACCATTTGAGGAGCCAGGCCTGGCCTAACCCGGTTCGGTTACAGTTCTAGCCCAGGAGTGGCACCGCATGCTTCTGTAGGGTTGCATGCTTCGTCACCCACAATGCCCCTTTCCTACGTCGCCCCGTGCCCCTCTCCTCCTCTTTACCATCTACAACCAGGGTGTGGGGGTTGGCAAGTAATTTTTATTTGTAAAAGTTAGTTTTTTGACAACCATGAAAGCAGGCTTGGGTTCGGGTTAGGGCTGGATTTCTCCCTGAATGCTGTCTGGGTAGGTGGTAGACTGGAGTAGGAGTGTGATTCAAAACCTCAGACAATTTGAGTGGTATATTGGATGTGGTGTCTCTGCTATGAAAATATATTCCACGTTGACCCGGACAGACCCAGCTGATAGCATATTTTTATACAAACTCATGCATTTGTCGGGTCAGTCCGGTAGGGCTGCCATGAGGAATGCGGGCCTGGCCCAACCCTGTTCACGAACCAAGCTGACACCCTTCCCAGCGGTCATGGAGACACGGCAATTGTAATTCAGCAGCAGCAGCAGCAGCGATTCCACGCAGGCTGCGGTAGCCTGCGCAGATTAGCGACTTGAGAGAGAGAGATGCCCTCTCCGCTGGGATATTATCTCTCCCCCTCCACGTGCCCTCTACAGCAACGAGCACCGACTCTTGCGTGCCGACCCCCAGCCAACCTGCACTCGTCAGCGAAGGTGTTGCTGACGTCTGGTGTATGTGTGGAGGTTGAATGGTAATCATTATCAATGACAGCGGTGGTGATGGTCATGACAGCGTTGGCTCTTTTGACGATTTATTTTCACTGTATAGTCAACGTGACTTTAAGTATGCTTGTTTAAAAAAGAAATGCCCAAATAAATACTGAAGGTATATATTTTTTCACACCAAAATATTTACTTCGATATTCCATCGGTGGTGAGTGATATATGGATTGGTCCTGGAAAGGCGACAACCCCCCCCCATGCACCAACCCACACTGACCAGCGAGGTGAAGTATGACTGAGACTGCATGGGGAGTCCTTCACCCATCAATGAGACAAGGAGGTTGTAAACAATAATAAGAATAATAATAATAGTAACACATTGTGCGTGTTTGATTCACATGATCCCTGAACTCAGTAGCGGTGGCCCAGGCCGTGCGATTCGTTAACTTTCGCCATCAAACTTCCGGTGCGATTTTATAACGAGGCGATAACTCATCGTGAAACCTTTCTGAATACGAACGACTCAAAACACACCCCCTGCCCCCCCCCCCCGCCGCCCGCCCGCCCGCCCGCCGCGCTGCCGCGTGTTCCCCGGGCGCAGGCCGAGCACCGGGAGGTCCTGTCTCGGCAGCAGGCCGTCATCGTGGCCACGCAGCTCTGCCAGGCGCTGCTCGAGCGCCACGCCTCCAGGCTGGCGCCCGACGACGTGGCGCGGCTGCGGCAGGCGTGCCACGACCTCGGGCTCCGCTACGACGCGGCGCTCGCCCGCTCCGGGGCGCGCCTGCGGCCGCTCGAATCCGCGAGCGACGCCCTGGCCAAGCTCGACGGCGACTGCGCCGAGTTCGAGGCGTGGCTGACGAGCGCCCGGGACGTCCTCGCGACGTCGTTCGCCGGGAGCGGCGGCGAGGAGGAGGAGGAGGGGGTGGCCGCGGAGGACGAGGACGTTCTGGCCGCGAGGTTGCGCCGGCAGCGCGAGTTCGCGGAGGACGTGGTGTCGCGACGTGGCGACCTGCGCTACCTGGGCGTGGCGGCGCGCCGCGCCGCCGAGACCTCGGCCTCCGCGGGGCCCGAGGTGGCGGCCGTTTGCGGCGGCGTCCGGCGGCGGCTCGAGGGCATGGAGGCGCGGTACAGCACGCTGCACGTCGAGGCGAGTGGCCGCGGGGGGCCTTTGGTGCAGGCGATCACCGGGAACGAGAGCGACGACGACGATGATGATGATGATGATTCTGTTGATTCATTGATTCATTGAAATATTTTTGTTTGACCGTTGTTATGATGCTTATAACGAACAAAAACCTGGAGTGGTACAACAGGAAACGGTGCATCAGAATCGAGAACATTTTTATTAAACGAGGGCATGAGGTGGCCTGGAGGGCGAACAAAAATGTTTAGTCGAGAGAACTAACAGCATGTCGTGACCACAAATGCGAACCCAGGATCTCAGCGGTGCCAGGTCATCTCACTGACCTCTGAGTTAACCCTGCCAACTGAGACAATTGCAATTAAGCTGCAAAACATTGCCAGTTAAATTAATGCGTATTTCTTCTTTCACGTAAAATGTCCGTTTGATCAAGATGTCGACGACGATGAAAATAATTGTCTTGCTTCAAATACAGCATGACGATCCTCTTTTTCAAATTTTTCTTGGCCGCCCTCCATCGGCGTTATCAACAGCGATGTTTCGGTCTAACACCCGCGCTCTCTCCTCCCTCTCGCCCCCCCCCCGTGCAGTGCGTGCAGCTGGGCTCCCGCTTCTCGGAGGCTCTCGCCCTGCGCGCCGAGTTCCAACGCGCGTCGGCCGAGCTGAGCGAGCGGCTTCGCGCGGCGGAGGGCCGCGACGCCGGCCAGGCCGCCGAGCCTGCCGCGTCGGAGCCCGCGGGGCTGCAGAGCCAGCTGGACCAAGCGACGGTGAGCCGTGCGAGCGGCGCGTGGCACGGCGAGCCGCCGTTTGCCGTCGTCGTCGTCGTCGCGTTAACGACGATTCCCGAGACGTCTGCAAGTTAAAATTAAACTGTTTTTTTTTACCAGGCTAGGCCCGCTGAGCTACACGGCTCTTTTTGCAGAAGCCACCTGGCCACAAATGATAGCTCGACGAGGTGGCTTATCACGTGGAAACTTCCAGCAGACAAATATGTGACCACGGGGAGAACATGCAAACTCCAAATATACAGGCGCCAGGATCGGGATCGAACCCACGACCGCCTGTATACCGGGCGAGGCAGTTAACATCTCGCCACAGCGGAGCGTTGCAGTTCAGTTCTAGTTCACCTCTGAATCTCGGATCGCGTAAGTGGTTAGTGTTAATTTTATTTAGGCGAGGCATAGCGCCATTGTTTTACAGACGTACTCACCACAGGGAACCGTGGCGACACAACCGCACTCTATGATAACTGGCGCCAAACCGTGCCACACGCCCTCCCGCATGGCCTTTTACTTCTGCTTCTGTTCCGATGACGTAAATGTATGGAATCAGAATGGAATCAGAAGAAAAACTAATGACGTACACACTCAGAGCACGAGTCGGTACCACCTAAGGTAACACATTTTAGTCATGTGGATTTATTCATATGGCCATTATAAGAGTGAATCATCAGCAGCTAACGCTTTTTAGAAATGCAAGACACATTGGCTTGACATCAATGTAAATAAATCCGATAAACCAGTCCACTGCTTGACACAAACACATTGAACTCACTACGGGATTTAAACTATGCGTGATTTCGCAAAATGTGATGGATGCATAATCCGACCAAGAACTGAGTGGGAGGACGCGAGCGAAATTTAAAACTAAAATAAACAGATTTGTCGTTCTTATCAGAGGTCATCCTGAGGCTCGCCATGATGCGTCTCGTCGCAAGTTTTATTCACGTCCTGTTTGTTTTCAGGCACTTCAAGGTGACGTGTCTACCCTTCAGCCGATGCTGGAGAAGCTTAAGCGATCAACCTCTTTGCTGCTCGAAGTTGGAGAAGATCTCGGCGTGAATCGGCCGGAGATTGAACAGGCTCTTGGTACGTTATGTGTTAAAAAAAAACACTTCATGCGAGCATTCATAACGTTGCAGCAACGTAGCGGTTAAAGGTGGAGCCCAGGGGTTTGTATTCTCACGACACTGCTGGCAGAAGAGCCTCCACTATTCAAGGAGCTCGATGGAGCCTCTCTAGAGGGTATATGGTGGGAGTACCCACGCTTTACACCATCTCGTGCGGCCTGCCGATCGACTAACTGTGCTGTACCCATTTATACTGCTGGGTGGACAGAGGTGGAGGGGGTAGATTTAAGAAACTCGCTTCACCGAGAGAACTCTGGATCGCAAGGCCAGTGTGCTGACCATTGCACCGGGTCAGCACCCTCGACGTTGTAGTCGTAAGGTATACGTACACCTCCCTTCGTTCCACGAGAAACTTTATTCGCTCGGTGGGCCCGGCATTAGGGTCGTGGGCGCGCCGCCCTGGGGTTGGCAAGCCGCGAGAGAGAGCGGGGCGCCGACAGATCGTGACGAGCGCACCGGAACCTCCTCCCCGGAGTTCGCACCGAACGTCTCCAATCGCTAACTGCCGACCGCCCCCCCCTCACCCCCCACCCCCTGACCCCTGACCCCCTGACCGCGTGCGGCGCAGACGAGCTGACGGCGCGTGCGGACTCCCTGCGCGCGTCCGCGGCAGCGCGGAGCGAGCAGCTGCGGCGGGCGGTCTCACGCTCGCTGGGCGCGCGCGAGGGCCTCGACGCCGCCGCCCGGTGGCTCGCGGAGGCCGAGCGCGAGGCCGCGAGGGACGCCCCCGGGGCCGCTGTCGTCCGCGGCGGCCCGCGACGAGGTGGCCAAGAACGAGGTGGGTCGCCGCTCCTGAAGGGAGATGCGGAGGTGGTGAGGGGGGGGGGGACGGGGGACGGGGACAAGTATGGGAGGGTCGTGTTTTTATTTTTTACGTTCGCGGTTGCAGAGCGCAGGCCTAAGTGGGCCCCCGAAACGCCAAGCGGCCAGCAACAAACTGCACTGTTGAATGCGTGATAGGTAGGGGTTCATAGATTTCTTGGAATTCAGCAAGGTTAATATCAGGACTTGGTCAGGGGAAAAGAGACGATGGGAGAGAATTCAACGTTTAGACGTGCGAGGGAGGAGCGGACAGAGCAGTATTTTGACCTGCACTCTGGTGGTTGATCCCAGTGAACATTTATTTTTTACGCGGTATGTAACGGCGCGCATGTAACCAGCGCGAACTGCGTCGGCCACGGGCTGCATCGCGCGACCGCGCCCAACCTTGCCCTGGTCTCGGGGGCGGCCGCATTGTGGGCCGCATCGCTGCTACCGGGCCGGCGTGAGGGGCGGTAGGCCCCGCGCGTTTTGCGTCCGCTGCACGCGATTGTTTCGCGGGGATCCATTTTAGCCGACGGCAATTTTTAGAGAACGGGCAGCTTGGGTAATATTTGCTCTGGACGCTGAGCTGGTGTCTCTCCTAACTGTTCAGGTCCCTGGGTTCTTCGGATCGCCTTCTTAGAAGCACCGCCAGGATCAAGGCACATTTCCTGGGATAATCGGGCGTTTGCCAGTGCAGCTCTCAGGCTTTGGAACACTTTGCCTTTGATAGTTAGGCAGAGTCATTCGATATACTTAAGTCTGTCTTGAAAACTCACCTCTTTAAGTTTACCACGTAGGCTGTCGCGACCAATTTGTCACGTAGACGAAGCGTGCCAATTAGTTACTACTACTACTACTTCATCACCTCCTTAAATTGTCCTTTAGCCCCTAGTATTGTCCGTGTACCCTGCAGGTTCTATTTATTTTGTTCTTTCCATACACGGTGGCACATTGGGATCTACGGACAAAATTATTATGGTTGTTAGATGTTAACTACCTCGCCTGATTATACGCCCGCTGTATATTCGGAGTTTATATGTCTCTCTACCCGTGGTCGCGTGGATTTTTCTCTGGGTTCTGCAGTTTTTTCCCTCCATATTTAGAATCAACATCACGTCTTCAGAGTTTCTGGCTGCTATTCATTTTCACGTGATGATAAGCCACTTTACTGAGCTATCATTTGTGGCCAGATCGCTTCTGAAAAATAACTATATAGCTCAGTGGGCCTTACCTGGTAAAATAAAAATAGGAAAAATATAATCAGCGTCCGAACGATGAGACTTCCGGCGCAGATAAGTAACGGCTGTGCTGCGCGGTTCTCCGATGTCCGACGTTTCGCTACACGTGCCGGGAGCTTCTTCAAAGTACTCTCTTTCTCCCACGATTATCGAGCGATGCCGGCGCTTGGCGTCAATGACCGGCAATGCCGAACGCAAAATGCCGTGCTGCCGCCCGTTCAGGCCATGCAACAGGAGCTGGCGAGCCACCAGGGCGGGCTGGCCACCATCGCCGAGAGGCTCGGAGATCCGGCGAGCGCCGCCGAGGAGCCACCGGGCGGCGGGATCCTCCGCGAGGATCTCTCCGCCGTCACCCGGCGCTTCGGCAAGCTCTCCACGCAGTGCGAGGTGGGCCGCCCGCAAATCCCCGGCGCATTTCCCGGGTCGTGCCGTTCAGCGCGATGTCCGATGTTTCGCTCCGCCTGCCTGGGGTCTTCTTCAGGAACCGATTTGGCCCGAGTCGACGACACGTGTTAAAATAACGTGTGAACATATCGGAAGCAGGTGATGTACACAGATCAAAGTCTGGCTTCTTTAGGCACCTTGTTGTGGTGCTTTCATCATTAACAAAATAAAAAATCAGACAATGCACCTCCTTGCACATCCCATCAGCTCTTTTTGTGTGGACGGGCAAACATGGCAAGGGGGCGCATCGTCTGCCTATTTAATCCAGTACTTATTTTCAACACGGTGACGCAAATTACATTTTGTGTGTTTCACGTTCCACCTCTTGTCGTCGGCCCCCTCGTCTGACCTTGGCAGGAGCGCAAGGAGAAGTTGCTACGGCTCACGGAGAAGGTGGAGGAGTTCGAAGAGGGGGCCGCCTCCTTGCAGCGCGCCATTGCCAAGGACTCGCAGGCCTTTGAGAAGGAAGCCAATGGGCCAAATGCTGACCTGGAGCAGATAGCAAAACTTCTGGAGGTGAGCCCTGATGCCAGGAGTGTTTTTTTTTTGTTTTTTCGGTTCAAAGGAGCTCGTTTTTATCAGCCTTCTTAGAGTGCCCCCAGTTATTTTTTTAGGACACCCGATACACGATGACAAAGTCAGACAATCGCTCGGTCCTCTCGCTTGCTGCTCTGAAGAAGGGCCATCGCCCTGGACTTCAGCTTATTATTCGTACAACTCTTCTTATCTTTAGTGGGGGGGGGGCTTTATTGGTGAATCTTATTTCTCATATTCATCCATGGAAACTCCTGTTGTCCATGATGCTATCTCATGTTAAACAATCGGATGATTATCACGCCCTTTTCCCACGGAAAACCACGGTAAACCATTATTCTATTTTCATGACATAGTTGGGAATAATTTTGTACAATTATGTTCGACTTTTGTCTTGTGGCAATGTTTACACATCGCACCAGGTACTCGTTTAAAGATGAGTCCACCTAGGGGAGGCCCAAGACCGTATCAGACAATTAATTTTTCATTTCAATCATTAAATTTGTTGAGCCAGCTGGGCCAGGATTGGGCAAAAGCTAGCCCACTTTTCACCCAGGCAACTGAAGAGCACAGACAAAGTGACACTAAAATAACATGAAAAACCAACATCAACATATTTAAGAAACACATATCAGAGAAAAAAAACCATATATACTGTTGAAGGTAAAATACCTTTTGTTTTAATTCATCACCGGTGTTGGCCGTGAGCGTGAATCTAACTCGGGTCACAGGGTTCGTAGTGCTCAGAAGGAGAGGAAGGAGGAGCGAATTTGAGCGGTGCGCCCGTGCCGATGTTGTGAGCGCAGGAGTCGGCCGGAGAACTGGCGAATCGGCGCAAGGCCCTGGAAGGGTTGCGCGGCCTCCTCGCCGGTGACCTCGCCGACCCGAGCCCCTTCGCGGACACCGGCGGCCTGGCCCGCACGCTGTCCGTCCTCGGCGAGTCGTGCGAGGCCCTGGAGCGAGCCCTCCACGCCAGGTGCGCCGCCGTGCGGCAGAGTTTTTTACGCGTAGCCAGGGATGGCCCGGGCGGAAAGCCGTCGCTTGCTCGGCCGATTGTCGCTTCGAACGCTCGACCGCGTCGGGTGACACGACGACGGTCAGAATAAAATTAAATCACCGCCGTTCCCGCTCGTGCCGCCGGACAGGAGGCGATGGGCGGGAGTAATCGTCAGCCGCGTCGCTCCGGGCGCGGCTTGTGAGATCTTCCCGCCTTTGCGGGACAGGATTTCGGAGCTGTACACTTTTATAGGGCTATAGAGAGAAAGGGAGAGCAAATTCCATGGTGTAAATGTGTAGCGTGTCCTACATGAGAGAGCCAACGCGCTGTGGTGAAATAAATAATAATTCGCTCCGCTCTGTCATTCCACTGGTGGATGAAAGCCTCCGCACGCCACGTCGCTTGTGGCTGCTGTTTAAGCGTACTTCACCGCGCTGTTCAGTACGCGTTGGTGAAGGGTGGGTCCAAGCAGCGGTTCAGATCTCACTCACCCATGGTTTAGAATCGAACTCAGGTCACCGGGTTCAGACTGCGGCGCTGCGGCCACTGCACCGCCACTCTTCCCACCAGCGAAGTAATGGATCATCGCTTCGAAACAATTTGACGCCCGTAACATGACCACAAGAGTGGATTTCCACCGGTGATGTATGTATGCTGAACTTCTATCACACCGTACGTAGCCAATCGTGCTAATCGGAGGTGCGGGAAATGACGATCGACGCATCGTCACGTGCTTACTGCCCCGCCCCCCCCCCTCCCCCCCCCCCCGTCAGGGAGGAGAACCTGGCCTCGTGCCGCCAGCAGATGGAGCAGTTCCAGTGCGCCATCGCTGAGGTGCAAGCCTGGCTGGAGGAGGCGGAGTCCCGCGTTCCGTCGGAGCAGACCACGCTGAGCACCGACGCACTCCAGGAGCAGCTGAGCTCAGTGCAGGTGGGGCACAGCGCGATGCATCGGTGGCTCCGCAGGGGGTGGGGGTGGGGGGGGGCTCTCGCTCTTCGAACCCTCCCTTCACGGAGGTCGTGGGTTCGATCCCGACCCTGACACCTGCTGCTGCATATTTGGAGTTTGCGTGTGTCTCTCTCTCTCTCTCTCCCCGTGGTGGCGTGGATTTTTCTCCGGGTCCTCCGGTTTTTCCCTCCACATGTAGAATCAACATCACGCGTTTAGGGCATCTGGCCGCAAGAAATTTCCAGATGATAACAAGCCACTTCGTTGAGACGTAAATTGTGGCCAGGTCTCGTCTGAAAAAGAGCCATATATCTCACTGGGCCTTGCCTGGTAAAATAAAAATAGAATCGGGGTGCGAACTTTGAGACTTCCGGTCTAGATTTTCGCGGTTGTGCTGCGCAACTTGGCTTCCACATTGTTCGTGACTAATCGCTGCTTTGGCGGCTGGTGGCGGCGGTGGCGGCGGATTCCGGCAGACGGTGCTGACCGAGTGGGAGGGGAAGGCCAGCGCGGTGCGGGGAGTGGTTGAGAGGGCGAGCGAGGCCGCGCGGGCCCGGAGCTCGGTGACGCCGCCAGCCCACGACGCCGCTCCCACACCCGGTGAGGGCCCCGCGACTCACCGCCCCCCTTCCCCCCCACACAACACAGAGACGTCCTAGGCACAATTCCACGGGTGTCACTCTGTAGTCGCCACTGATGGCTTGCTCATCGACGCTATTATCGCTGTCATGGTCTGTATCTTCATTGACGTTATATTAGCAATCATAACCACCACCACCACCACCATCATCATCGTCAAAAAACATAACTACAGGGGCCCAGCACCTGCAGGGGCAGCACTAAGGTCCTCGCGGAGTAGATTCACCAAGTCCCTCGGGCATTCTGGGGCCGTCTCGGGGCGTTCCTGCCCATTAGACAGTACTGCTTAATGCGTCGCTCCTCCTTTCCAACCCCCCCCCTCCCCCTCACCTCTCATGCCCATCAGTCATAGACGCAGACGTAGATCTCACAGTGCCCCAAGGTGCGCTCGCAAACAGCAGGGTAGGCACAACTCCCATCGCCGCTCCTTGCTCGCACGTCACGTGGCCAACCGCGTTGGGACGTGCGATGCCGACAGCCTCGCCTCAGCCGCCAGCTCGCCGGAGCTGACCGTGCGGCCGTGTCATCGTTTGGGCCCGCCGACTCAACAAGCCCCTTCCCTCCAACCCCCCCCAACAGACGTGCTGGAGGTACGACGGGAGGCCCTTGCCGTCGAGGCACGCTACTCCGACCTGGGCGTGCGTCTGCGCGAGCGCTCCGGTCGCCTCTCGAGTGCCCTGGCGAGGACCTCGTGGGTGCTGGACGAGGCCGACGCTCTGCTCGCCTGGCTGGAGGAGCGGGCGCAGCTCACGGCCGCCTGGGGCCCCGTGCCCGCCGAGCCCGACGCCGTGAGGGCGGAGGCCGACAAGCACAAGGCGAGGCCGCGCGGGGATCGGCCCTTTGTTTTCGTCGCTGTCTGTGTTTTTTTTTCGCTTGCCGGATTAAAGGGGCCCGTCGCAGCACCTGTGTCGCGGTGTGTTCGCGGCCCTCTTGATACATTCAGAATCGGAATGTTTGTTTTGACTGGAGGAGGAATTCTGATGAAGCTGTGAAGCTCTGTTTCACCGATGTCCAGTAGGGGCGTGGGGGAGGTTTGCGAGTTACATCAGCAAACAATACAACAAGCGATATAAGAAGAGCAAGATAGAGAACGTGATTCGTACCTGGGTGCCCCCAACGCACACTGACCAGCGCGGTGAAGTTTGGCAAGACAAATCCCATGCATGACCTTTATCCAGCGGTGGATTCACACAGCTCTCGAAATAATTATTATCTTTATTATTCATAACAAACACAACATTCCCACATTATTATTCTAATTGTGATGCTTTTGATGGATTGTCTCTCAAAGAGAGCCATATAACGCCACCTTGGGTCAGAAAACAGTCCCTGGCTCAAACCGAGATGCGAGACCCAGGATCTCAGCGATGCCGTCTCATTGTTTCTGGCCTTTGAACCAGGAAAGAAAATATCGTGGTGGTACGACTGGTCAGACATGCATGAGCTCCATCGCTTGTTGTATCACTTTGATGAAAATTATGTACATATGTTGAACTTCTCTCGCACCGTACGTAGCCAACCGCGCTTATCGGAGATGCGTGATGACAGCGATGACGCTGACAGTCCTCTCTCTCCTCTCACACCTCCATCGTTTTGTCCCCTCCGCGGCACCAGGCCTTCCAGGAGGACCTGGAGGACAAGGCCCCGCACATCCAGAAGGTGACGCAGCTGCTGACCGAGCTTCTGGAGTCGTCCGCGGACGATCCTGACGCGGACGCCCTGCGCAAGCGGCTGGACAACATCGGTGCGGGTTCACGTCCATGCTTCGTTTCCCCATCGCTTCTCGTCTTCCGTCGCTCGTCACGTTTGTGACTGACGATGAGTCCGGGCGTCCTCCCAACGCTGCGCTTTCTCTAGTCGTGGACAATCGCTACCCGTAAAACCAGGGGTGGGAAAACCTATGGCACGCGACTTATTCAACAGGCAAATGGGGAAAGAGTGGCGGTGCATTGGTTAGCGTAATGCTGTTATAAGTCCAGAGACCTTAGTTCGATTCCTGGTGACGGGTAACAGTGGCGAACCAACCTGGACTAACCAGTATGGCCAAACGACCCCACAACCGACATGGCATCCAACAGCGGATTGATAGAAACATGAAACCAATAAGAATAAAGGCTGCATCATTAGCCTTGAGCCAATTACGCTGCTGTGTCTCGCATTCATCGCTCACCTCCACCTCGTCGTCTTTCCATTGGACGCAACCGACCCCTTACGACCCCTGACCCCTTACGACTCCTGGACTTTTTTTCCCCCTGCGCTGGCACAGAGCTCGGCTGGAGCGAGGTGCGGGCGGGGGCGGAGGAGCGGGCGCGCCGTCTGGAGGAGTCTTGCGGCCTCCACGAGACGTTCAGCGCCGCCCTGGCGCAGCTCTCGCCGTGGCTCGCCGAGAAGCGGCTCATGGCGAGCGTGCTGGGGCCGCTGGCGCTCGACCCCAACATGCTGACCAATCAAAGGCAGCAAGTGCAGGTGAGGCCCCGCTCAGTACGCGGTGGTGTAGCGGTTAGCGCTACGCTGCGCTACGAACCCGGCGACCCGAGTTCGATTCCTGCTAACGGCCAACACCAGTGACGATTATCAGAACCGGTCCTGGGCCTCCCCTAGGTCGACTCAGCCTAAAACGACTACCTGGTGCGGTGTGTAAACATCGCCACTGGGGAGACAAAGGCGGCCAGGCGTGGTGTTGGCCACCCACCCCCTCGTGTGCCGTGCCGGCCTTCATAGGTGCTCACTAACAGCACTTACCCCAACAGTCTGTTTGGGCTCTATTGGGGGATCTTTATTACACACAAAGTGCTTGCCTTGCCACAGATGAACCACAATACCTCACCCATCTCGTCAAGGAACGTAAACCATCATCATCATGCCAACTCCGGTCTTCCTCGCAGCAGCAGTAGCAGCAGCAGCAGCCGCTTGCGGCTGAGCCATCAAACAAAGACGGTCACCGCGTCGTGCGCTTTCAGATGCGGCTTCTGTGGCCGTCTGGAATGCTCTTTCCTTCCGATGTTAGGAAGCCACTGGAGCTGTGCACTTTTAAATCATCTTAATTGAAAACTCATTTCTTTAGAAGTGCGTTTGTGTGTTTGGTGTGTTCTTCACCTCCGATTAGCTACAGACGAAAGAAGTTCAACATACATATGAGGAGCGCTTTGATCGGTTCCAACCACATGTCAATGTTCGTCCAACACTGCCATTGTTTATTGGGATACTGTAGATCATAGGTGCTCGCTGACAGTGTTTGTCCCAACAGTCTGTTAAAAATTATATACGGGGTGTGGGGGAGAAATATTTGTATTTTTCCTTTGTGTGCGCGTGTGTGTGTGTATACTTTTAAGCGTTTGTACATGTTCAGGTGTGTGTATTTACGTGAGATGTTGGTGCATGTACGTACCATGCTAATCGGAGGTGCAAATGCGAGATCAGTGGCGGGGCGGAGATCAGTGGCGGGGCGGAGATCCGCCATTGTGGTGGATCGTGGCATCGCTCGACTCTTGACGATAGAACCTCCCGCTCGCGCGCCCTCTCCACAGTTCATGCTGCGCGAGTTCGAGACCCGCAAGCCGCAGCACGAGCAGCTGAACCGCGTGGCACGAGGCATCCTCGGCGACGGCACGGATTCCGCCAAAGACGGCGGCTCCGGAGAGGTGGAGGAGGAGGAGGACGAGGAAAACAAGGCCCTCCTGCGTGAGCAGCTGGCGTCGGTGAACGCCGCCTGGGACGGCCTGACCGGGGAGCTCCGCGACCGAGCCCAGAGGGTGGAGGACGCCGTGCGGGAGAGCGGACGGCTTGCCTCGGCCCTGGCCCAGCTGGCGGAGGGCACGGCGGCACTGGCGCGCGGCCTGGACGAGGGGCAGCCCGCCGTCGCGGCGACGCCGGACGCGCTGGTGGCGCAGCTGCGGCGGGCGGAGGAGACGAGGGCGGCGGCGGCGGCGCTGGCGCCCGTGGCCGAGGAGGCCCGGGAGCGGAGCGAGAAGCTCGGGGACGTCGTCGGCGAGGCCTACCTGCAGGCCGAGCTCAGGCGGAGGCTCGACGTCGCACTCCAGCCGTTCAAGGAGCTGGAAGAAAGAGCGAGTGAGTATAAGGGAATTCTAAGCAACGTTTTTATTTCACTGTATATTGACGATGGCGATAGTAATCTGTAGCAATACGTTGCCGAGAATAGTGACGGTGGTGATGATGGTGATCTTATTACCAATCCGCAGATAAGCACCTGGAGCTGGTGCAGGAGGCGCTGCAGTGCTCGCGGAAGTTCTCCGAGTCTCTCGAGGAGCTGACAACGTGGGTGACGGAGATGCGTGCCGAGCTGGCCCGGTTCCCCCCGGTGTCCATAGAGCACGGGTCGGTCCAGGCCCAGCTGGAGCGGCAGGAGGAGTTCCTGGGTCGCGTGACGGCCCGCGAGGGCTCCTTCCAGACGATCGTCGCGGACGGCGAGGTCGTGGCGCAGGTGCCTCTGGGCCCGTCAGGAGCGGAGGACGCGGCGTCGCTGGGTGGCCGGCTGGCCGAGCTGAAGGCGCGGTGGGAGGAACTGACGACGGAGGCGACGGCGAGGCGCAAGGCGATCCACAGGTGCGCCAAGAAGGTGCAGCGCTTCGAGGAGTTGAGGGAGGAGATCATCCGGCGCTTGACGGAGAGCGACGAGAGGCTGGGACAGGTGGGCGAGGTGACCCTGTCGCTCGAGGAACTGGAGTCGCGGCTGGCGCAGACACAGGGCCTCCGACAGGACGTCGAGAAGCTGCAGGGCCCCCTGGAGCTGCTCACGTCTGCCGGCAGGGACCTCGCCGAGAGCTGCCCGACCGACGCCGACTTCGTCGAGGGGCAGACGGCCGACATCGGCCGGCGCGTGGACTCCGCGTTGGGCGAGGTGCAGACCAAGCTCGAGGTGACGGAGGCCGTCACCAAGCGGCTCAAGAGGTTCACGCGCGGCATCCGAACCGTCCAGGAGAAGCTCGCCGAGTCCCGGCGGCTGCTGGAGATGCACCGGTCCCTGGGAGCGCAGGCCGCCTCAAACGGCGGCCACCTGGAGAAGATGAGGGCGTGCCGCGATGGCCTGCACACGGCGCTGACGAAGGAGGCCGAGGACCTGCGGGCGGTCGCCCGCGAACTCGCCGAGCTGGCGCCGGGCGACGCGGCCGGCGCCGCCGAGCTCGCTGGGCAGGCGGAGCGGCTCGCCGGCGAGCTGGCCAAGGCGGCCGCGGCCGTGACGGAGAGCTGCGACGCCCTGGAGGAGAGGGCGCGAGGCCTCGGGCGCCTCCGCGGCGTCGCTCGCGACCTCTTCGCGCGCCTCTCCGACCTGTCGGAGGAGCTCGACTCGCAGGGCCCGCCGGGGAGGGCCCCCGACGCCCTCCGCTCGCAGCTCGCCGACATCGACCGCGCGGCGGCGGCCACCGACCAACTCGGCCGGGACATCGCCGACGCCGGGCTCGAGTGCCGTCGGCTGCTCGAGCAGGAGGAGGCGGAGGGGAAGGCGGGGAAGGCCGGGGAGCACCCGGGCGCCGGCGAGGCGGAGCAGAGCGTCGAGCTGCAGGGCATGCGCCGCGAGACGGAGGCGCTGCAGAGGCAGTGCGCCCGCCTCGGCGAGAGGGCGGCGGCACGCAAGGAGGAGGCGCGAACGGCGCTGGAGCGCGTGGAGGAGTTCTACCGGAGCCTACGCCAGGTCACGGGCCTCCTGGAGCACGCCGAGGAGAAGGAGACCGCGCAGGGGCCCGTCGGGACGGAAATCGACCTCATCAATCAGCAGATGGCCGACTTCCAGGTGGGTCCCCGATTCTCGGTTGATTTGCAGGTGGCGCGCGGACGGCGAGGAGGGAATCGGGGGCGGGCAAATCGAGGGTGCGGATTGGATTGGAACGTGGCAGGAAAACGCTGCGGATGTGATTTCGAAGTTGACGTTGTTACGCGTGCGCCACGTGTCCCTGTGGCGGACGGAAAAGTGCCGGGTAAACAACTTGGAAGTTGCGTCTAGAACGCGGCAGGAAATGTAAATGTTGTCTGGGAAGATGAAGGTGGTGATGGGTGGGGCCAGGGGCGGAGCCAGGGGGGGTGACAGGGGTGACATTCTGCGTATAAGTGTACGACACTCGGTCTGGCGGACTCCGTGCAACTGCATTGTCAGAGTGTGTCGCCAACCGATGGCGTCTAGTTCAACAGCCTGACTCTCTAATCATTCTTGAAATTAAAATTTGTTGAATGTCACCCCGGCCTGAAATCCTGGCTCTGCCCCTGGGTGGGGCGCACGTGCATAATGGAGGAAGGGCAGATTGCCGAGACAGACATGGGAGTGGCACGCAGAGTGCGATTATCAAGGTGGTGGCGCTGATGAGACTGTAAGAGCGATCCTTGCAAGGCAGGCGTCAACTTGGCAAAAAACTGCAGGACCTCGTAGCAGAAGGGAAGTGAAGGCAAGGTGAGATGGCGTCAGTGGTATTGGACATCATCACCTGTTGACCTTGACCCACTTCGCTAGATTTTAAAGAGGTAGGTTGTCGGTTTACAGATATTTTCCGAGCAGTTGTGCTACGACAGCGCAGAATACAAATGTGGTGGTTCAATATGCCTCAACTGTCTTTTACAACTGTTTATTGTTTAACCTGTTGGCAGTAAGTTTTTGCCACGGTTCGTGTAAATAATTTGCTGTTTTTATGCCCTTGTTAGTTTGTGCATTCTCACCCTGCAATGTCCAGTAACTGCCGCCACTGCTGACGGTCTGAGGCTGTGGCCTCTGGGTCTCAATGTAACTCTGTGAATCTCTGTATAACTGAATGGGTCTCTATGGAACTCTATACATCTCGATGCAACTCTGTAGATCTCCATGTAACTGCGTAAGCTGCAGAGTCTGGCAAACTTCCGCCACTGCCGACGGTGTTGGGCCCTGGTCTTCCGTGTTGAAGATCCGCTTTAGCTCCATGGGTCTCACCGCCTGAGATAAAAAATCTAGACTTTAAAACTCATTGCTTTTTGTGTTTAGTTTGTTGGCCTCCCCCCCCCCCACCACCAGGCACCTCCAATTATCACGGTTGGCTACGTACGGTGCAAAATAAGTTATACATACAGGGACTCCTCTGCTTACGAACGAGTTAGGTTCCAGAGGTCTGTTCATAAGTCGATTTGTTCGTAAGTCCAACTTTACTCCTGTCGATTACAAACATGTTGTACGGCATGCACACTAAACACGGGGAATGGCTTTAAAAGTTGCATGATCTCCTGTAGATGTAGATGCCACTGGGTCTTCATCTTCTATAGATGTCACTGGTTCTTCGTGTTCTGCATTAGTAGATGCCACTGGTTTTTCACATTCTGCAGGTGCAGATGCCACCACCGCCATGTATTGCGCGTAGACTTAACTTACGCCTCTCGGTCCGAACAGGCAACTGGACATACGGACAGGTTTGTTCGTATCTCTGAAAGTTCGTAAGTCGAATGTTCGCAAGTAGAGGAGTCCCTGTAGATAGTACAATTCTGAGTCTGTGTGGCTTGCAAAGACGTTAAGCAACAGCAGGAGGAGACGTCGCTCCACAACAGCGCACACGATGAACGCCCTCTCTCTTTATCCAACTCACGCCGGGGTCGATAGCCAAGTCAGCACATACGCTACTGCCACAGGATTCAACCTCGCGAGGTTACATTGCCACTGTGAGTCACTTGGCCCTGGCTAAGTCGGTTTGGCTGACATCTTATTTTTTGTTCACTTGGCAAAGGGCGCTCGCTCCGTGACCCGTTTACATCCACAATTACGCTTTGGATTCGCCAAGTGCCAAAACAAAGATTTGCCGTACAGCGTTAACACACGTTTTGGGGCAAGCGCTGTTAGCGAGCACCTATGAAGGCTGGCATGGCACACGAGGGGATGGGTGACCAGCACCACAACCGGCCGCCTTTGTCTCCCTTGTGGCGATGTTTTATACCCATTCAACTAGTACCAATTTGAAGTTGAGTTGACCTAGGGGAGGCCCAAATACCGGTTCGGATATTAGACGCCGGTGTTGGCAGCGAGCGGGAATTGAACTCGGGTTCACCGGGGGTTCGTGGCACAACGTGCTAACCGCTCCGCCACCGCTCCCCAGTGGCGAAACACGCGCCGCTAGCCACGCCGTGCCAACGGGAACCTTCGGTGCCAATCTCGTTTTCCGCACGCGGTTGCACAGCAGGCTATACCGGTGCACTGCAATGTTTGGCTGGTGGAAAATTGAGTGGCTTTTAAGTTTGTGGGGTTTTTTTTTATCATTTTTTCATTCGGCGTTCTAGCTCGCGTCTACTCTTCGTGTGCAGCGGTTGGGCGATGCTCCCGAAAGTTTCCAATCGAGCGAAAGAAAAATACAAAGCGCAGGAAAGTAAACCAGTGCTGCTGCTTTTCTTCGCTGATCAAAATCTCGAGGGCCCCCCCCCCTTCCACCACCACCAACCCCTTCCCGAGTGAGTTCGTGCGAGCCTCTGTCGGACGCTTGGCACGCGGCTGCCCGTGGCGACACTTTCCCGGCAAGGCGGGAGAACACACAGTGTCGCTGAATGGAACGCGGACTGTGTGTGTGTGACTGCGAGGACTGTGTGTGTGTGACTGTGGGGACTGTGTGTGTGTGACTGTGGGGACTGTGTGTGTGTGTGTGACTGTGGGGACTGTGTGTGTGTGACTACGAGGACTGTGTGTGTGTGACTGCGAGGACTGTGTGTGTGTGTGTGACTGTGGGGACTGTGTGTGTGACTGTGGGGACTGTGTGTGTGACTGCGAGGACTGTGTGTGTGTGTGACTGTGGGGACTGTGTGTGTGTGTGACTGTGGGGGCTGTGTGTGTGTGTGACTGCGAGGACTGTGTGTGTGTGTGACTGTGGGGGCTGTGTGTGTGTGTGACTGTGGGGACTGTGTGTGTGACTGTGGGATCGCGGCGGGCACAGCTGCGACAGCGGTGTCTACGCCGGGCTCGGCCCAGTGGAGCAGATGGCGTTTTCATGTACTGCGCACACAACTTTTGTGTCAGCTCTCGTCGGTCACCTCGCTACCCCCCCCCCATCCCTTAAAAACTCTTTCATTCTCCAAACAGCGCTCCGCCCCAAACCGCCCACCCACTGATCCACTCACCCACCCATCCATCCACTCACTCACCCATCCATCCATCGACCCACCCACGCAATCATCCACACTTCCAACTATCCACCTATTCAACCACACTCACATGCATGCACCCATCCCTCCTCTCAACCATCTACCCAAGCACCCGTTAACCCACTCACCCATCCAGCTACTCAGCCAATTACACATCCCACCACTCACCCACACGCTTGCTCACACACCAAACCGACCAACCTACCGGCCTACAAACTCCCCACCCCGCACACTTTAGCACCCTCCCACGCACAATCACCACCGTGCCCAGGTTGGCGTCGCGAGCTTTGGCAGCGGCTGGGATTTGATGCGGCCCCGTTACCACCGTGAGAAAATCCGCGCCGCAAAAAGAGCGGCGTCACGGTCCAGCTGACACCCGAGCCGTGCTCGCTGCTCGCATCTCTTTTTTTCTGCTTTTTCTGTCGTCTCATTGGCCACCACCTTGGTGGCTACATTATGCCGCGCGCTGCTCCTCGGCCGGGTTTGTTCGCGGAGTGTGTTAAGCGAGCGTCCGTTACGATCACCAAGCCGGGGGCGGTGTGGTGGTCACAGCTCGGCTCGCGGTTGCTAAGTTGCGATTTCAACTCGGGGGTCGAAAACAATGCCACTTTCTGGGATACACCCATCCCCGCCATGAGAACGTGGAATTTCCACCGCTTGCTCGGCGGTAAACAGGACACGAGAATTGCCCCGCATTTATTTGAGTAGGGACACGGTTTTGCATTGTTGCAAAAAGAACAATTAATTTGTAGTCCTTTCTCTTTCCGCTGTTGGATGAAGGTATCACCACACTGTTGGTCACTGCCAGGGGTCAGCAGCCTGCGGCTCAATAGCTGCATGCGGCAGCTCTTTAAAGGACTGCTTCGTGACCGTTATTTATCAAGGACCCACCGTCTCATGTTCACGTGCATTGCGACTCTTGAAATATTGAGAGTTTCTTTGATGGAATTTGACATTTTTAGAAAATGGCTCTTCTTGTTATTTTGGATGCCGACCCGTTGCCATGGGGGTTGTTTGGTCTATACATCGGTACGGGCGCCCAGACATCGCTTGCCAAGCATACCTTATTTTCCCATCCCCAAATTGGGGGGGGGGGGCGAGTACGTTTTTGGATTGTATATATGCGAAATAGCCTCTAGTCGAGGTGCGAAGATGCATGGACTTGTCAACATCGTTTCGTAAGCTCACGATACAAACGGTCGAATCACGCGAGCAAAAAGAAAACAACGATGTTTTCTGTTCGTGTTTGTTGTTTTATGGCACGAGTTACATGTAACCCCGTCAGCCACTCGTGGTGGCAACATTAAACAGGCGTAGACGCGGCACAACGTAACCCACCCCTACCGAACATCTGTGAAAAAGAGATTTATAGCTCAACGGATCCCTCCGGTATAAACCAATTTTCTGGTTCTGACAATGTTCACCGTTTAAAGAACGAGAGGGCGCTCACCGCAGTGAAGCGGCAGCTCAGATCTCTGTACACCAAGATCCGCCAGACAGCTTCGGGGAAAGAACTCCACTTCTCCGAGGCGTGTTTACCAATTTGTGAAAATTCCCCCCAAAAAACTCAATGTCAGATCTCGAATGGAATCATGCCCCCTGAGTCGCGACAATTCATAGAATTGCTGGCAGTTTGGGAGGCCAGGTGAATTATTACTT